TATTGAATTTAAAAGACAGACTATCACTGTAGAATCGACGAATTAGTGCATTTATTATAAAACTATCTACAGTTTCATTAGCTTGTAATTCAGTCCCATCAAGGTGACTTTAAAAATTATTTTGTATAAATTAAATGCATCACATGACTTTATTCATATTCTTGTTCTATTTACATATGTCAATGGGAACAATAATAAATTTTTGTCTTTTTGCAAATATCACTTTCAGCTAAGGAAAAATAAAAAAATTAGATATTTTTAGTATTGTATGATAAATATTTCTGTACTATAATCACTTAATGACATCCTATGATTACATTAATATTCCAGAAAAACCAAACAGTATTATCAGAAACTATTTGCAAAGGAGTTGTTGGTGGTAGACTGGACTTCCCAAGGAATGCTTCCTTTGCATCCGTTAAAATTGTTCTCTGGTTGGAGGAGGAGTTTTCTATTGCATTCAAGTATGAACATTTTAATTTTATTTGATAACTTTCTGATGTTATTTTGCCACTATTTGAATGCTAGCTATTTGTTTTCCTATAAAAAATTAATAAATACTTAGTTATAGTTAGATATATTATAGTCGAGTCAATGGTATTAGCAGTAATAATGAGTAGTTAATCTTAATAGACAAATGTTACTGACATGATGATAAGGTAACTGTAATGGTAGTGAGGTGCTTAAGATATGACCTGAAAATAATTTGGGAATAGATGCTGTAAATTGACAGCGGATTCGACTGTTCTCTGCATAGATTTTATGTTTGACATAGGCCTACCTAGTATTTATTTATCTATTATTGTTTACTCCCTTTGGGAATCAGTTTATCAGACACAATACCTCTATATTATGTTGTACAGGCAAGGATCGGGCATGTTCGTGATAACAAAAGAGGATGAGAAAGGTGATATTGGAGTGGCTAAAACTTCAGACCCTGATAAATTCGTGCAGCTGGCTATCAAGTCTGGAGATTCACTGTTAGGTAGGTATTTTTTTTTATGTCATAAGCCGGTAAACGAGCAGACGTATCATCTGACGGTAAGCAATCCGCGTCGCCCATGGACACCTGGAACACCAGAGGCGTTACAAGTGCGTCACCGGCTTTTTGGGGATTAGGAGTTTGAGGATCGTTGGGGATTCAGGGATTGGGGAGATTGGGGAAGGGGAAGGTAATTGGGCCTCCGGTAACCTCACTCACATGACGAAACACAACGCAAGCGTTGCTTCACGTCGATTTTCTGTAAGGCCGTGGTATCACTTCGGTCGAGCCGGCTCATTCGTGCCGAAGCATGGCTCTCCCATACTTAGATATTATTATTGGCTCTTTAAATTATTGTATAGATATTACAAATGTTATGAATTTAGGAATATAATTTTCCATGTCACGACACCAACGCCAGCATAACTGAATGCTGACATATTTCCGACAATCAAACTTCAACTTTATTTCCACTGATATTAGCCTAATTTTCATCTCAGATCTTCATTTCTCGTTGCTTCGGTCCGTGTGTCGCTGCAGGGGTGCCAACTGAAAACCAGTGTTGGGTACTTACTGTGCCCAGCTCAAACTGAGTTGGCGAGCCCTTTCGTCGTGGGCATGCTGCCACCCTGTTGTTCTTTTATTTTACTTTTTTTATACTGTTTTTTGCTTCTATTATTTTCTACTGCTGTTTTCTATTGTTATTTTATGTTTTATTGTTGTTTTTTAATTTTGTTTGTCAATGTTATTTTACGTATGTATATTATTTAGTGGTCCATGCCTGGTGACGAATAAATTATTTTTCGTTCTTTCTTTTCTATCTCCAGAACATCTCCACATGTTGGCACAAGAAGCCCTTGACCACGCTGATCTCCCAGTACTGACTGCTACGCTCGGAGCCGCAGCGTTGTTGAAGAACAGCTTGTATTGCTACGTGCAGCATATTGAGGATAGTGGGAACCCTGAACGATATTCTCAGATTCAGGTAGAATATTTTTAAATGTGAAAATTCTTTAGGATATTTACAACTTTATCGCCATACATTTAAGTTGAAATTTCGTTGCGGTATGTTCATACTGAAAGTATTACTATTTAACCTGTTTTAGTAACCATAAAGGACCTACTTATTATTGATATCATTGACATTAGTGTCCATACATAGGCTGATTAGTTGTAAAATTCAATTTTTACCGAAAATAGGCCTAGTGGCCACTGTATCTTTATAGCGCCATCTATGTTTAAAATCCAACACTATTTCCAGGGTTGTTACAAACGCTACACTACAATGTCGGAGGCTGTAGGCGAACGAGTACTAGATCTGCACAACAGAGTTCTGTCTTTGTACATATTGCAAGATTCTGGCGGACGACCGATAGATGGCAACACTAGGACTGTGCATGAAAGTGGTACGCCTTCTGTACAGGGATGGTGGCTTTATATGAATGGTAAGTTTAGTTTCTTGTGACATATGTAATGACGTGGAGCGTTCTTGTTCCTTGTCGGGGTGAGTAGATGTGTGAATAATAGATGTAACACTCAATTTTATTTATATGGGGCAAGATTATTGTCGTTCACGTGATCGAGAGATGTAAAAATATACTTAGATATTTCCCCTACTTTGTAATGTATCCCGAGATCCTGTCTACCAAAGCTCAGCAGTTAATTCGATAAAGGAGGCGTTCTATATGTGGGGTCGTAATGGAATAAAATTATGTATTTTTCTTCTTTATATTTGCAGGAAGTAGACGCGACCTATGGGACACTGTACCACCTCGGATGGCGCAAAGAATATTCGCTGGAATGCTAAACGAAACACTGACTATTCTCACTGTGAGATATTGTCAGGTGAGTTACCGCAATCATGCGCAAATCGTTCAATGCTCTACTAGGGCAGATTACTGACATAAGTCTTGGTCTAATAAATTACACAAGAACTTATATGCTTCTCCTGCTTAAATAAGAGTCCAATCATATATATGTTGCCATCTATTGATCCCTAGAACTTACTACCCTACTTGCTTTAATATCTTACACATCTTAAGAAAATAAAATTAAAATAGGTCGATGGAAATGAAAATAAAATTAAAATAGGTCGATGGAAATGAAAATAAAATTAAAATAGGTCGATGGAAATAACAGGGATTTTTAAGGGAGAAAAATCATTAAATTACTTCTCCTGCCTGGGTGAGGTAGGAGGGAGTGTCAGACTTTTACTATAAACCACCCTGTTCCTACTTCTGCACTTCGAGTTGGAGCCGCGGCAACCTTTTATGTTCTCCACAGCAAATAGGTGGGATACACACATGCATATGAAATATTGAGTTGCATCTTTCTCGTATTACCAAAAGACCACCAATAGATGGCATAACTAGTCGTATTCTTTAATCTTAACACATTTTACAAACGTGGATATACTAAGAAAGTTTAAACAGCGTACAGCGCGACATCGCACGACCGCGAACGTGGCTCGAAACTAGAGAGTTACGAGAGAGTAAACGTAGAGCTTTTCTCAGTATATTCACGTGAGTAACCCGCGATTTTTAGTTAATTTAGTATGTCCCACGATAGTTATTAGAAAAACATTTTACAATATTAAATTAAGCCCTTTTCTCCAATATCCAGACGAATACAACAGATACAACAACTCGTCTTCTTCTCAACGACATCTTGAACATACTTCTCTGTGTGGCACAGCTATTACCATCAATATGTGCCAATGGGTCTGACTTGGCTGGTTTGGACGTGAAGCATCAGACAAGAGACGTGAGAGATGTCCATGCGAAATGCAATGAGCTGTTCAAGTGTTTCGTTTACAGAGGAGCTGATTTGCATTTTATACATCAGGTTTGATATTTCTTATTTCAAAGCTTATAGGTAGGTCTGTAAGTAATGATATGATGTTCGATTGTGTGTACTTGTGGTATTTTTTTGAGTAGGTAGTTGGGTATTTTTTTTTTAAGGGGGGAAAATCATCGAATGACTGCTCCCGCCTGGGTGAGGCGGGAGGGAGTGTCAGACTCTTACTGACTAAAAACCACCCCGTTCCTTCTTCTGCACGTCGAGCCGGAGCCCCGGTTACCCGTTAGGTTCTCCAAGTGTTGTGTTGTAGTATGCTTTATAATTTTGCCGTACACTATATGAACGCCGGTAACGAAACCATAGCGCCATCTAACTCGATTCCAACGCCATCTATCGAGTGTTAAGACAACTTGTGTTAATATGAATTAATAACTGTATATTAATGCGTTATGATCCCGTTACCGCTCCAAACAGCTCATATCAGTTGAAGTCAGTACTTGCAACTGTTCGACAAAATGAGCCAAAGCTTTGTTTAACTAGATATTTATTTACTGCCTCGTTGGCCGAATGGTCGTAAGTGCGACTGCTGGGCAAGGGATCTCGGGTTCGATTCCCAGATCGGGAAAATTATTACTAGATTTTTTAAATATTCTCAGTAGTAGCACGGAGTCTAGATTTGTGCCCGGTATATGGCAATAGGCTCACCCCCTATTACATGGGACTCATAACGTAAATACATAGTGAAAAGTGGGTGTTACATTGTACAGTAGTATAATATGCACTTCTGCCTATCCCTTCGGGGATAAAAGGCGTGATGTTATGTTATGTTTGTTATATTTATTTATTAAAAAGTAACCAATCTACTCCTATTTTCTTGCAGGAGTTCAAAGAGAAAGATCCACCTACAATACCGAGGGAATGTCCGTTCCCCTGGTTTACCTTCGTGTCTCCAATGTTGTTTGATAAGTTGGACGACCCGTCAGTGAGGAGTACGCATGATCTCTCCAACAAGACCGCTTTTGGGTTGGAACTGATCGTGTTGTTGGCACAGCCACAGCCGAATTGGGCGTTGATTGTTAAGGTATAGTTGTAATTTTGTCACATACATAATAGGGTATAGTGCTCACGATCTTTATGTCATTAATGTCGGAATACTGAAACGTTACTCAATTTTAAGTCGTGTTTAAATATCGTGCCATCTCTCTCATTTTATAAAGAACTAGCGGCCCGTCCCGGCTTCGCACGGGGGGACTTAAGATTTTTACATAGTTTAACGTTTTATTTATATTTATTCTCAGTTTTTTTTTATTTAGGAAGTATTTATCTTTTGAAAATATTTTTCCGGACTTCATCTTCTTATTTCATTTATTTAATTAATTATTTTCTTCTTAAATAGGAACCTACCTATTTTGTTGTTGTTTGTTTTGGTTGAGGTAAAAGTTTGTTTTACCTAGAGCAAACTTTTATAACGATTGAACCATTCATTAAAACGATTGTTATGGGTAAACTATAAAAGGTAGACATATGCTCTCGCGGACTTTTTTAAAAATAATGTTTAGATGAACAATTCATCTATAGAGCATTTTTGTATAACTTTAACTATATGCTCAGCGCACGCCACGGAAGGCCTCAGAAACGATACTTTTCCCCCGTTTTTAAAACATTTTTGGTTACTGCTCCACAACTATAGGACCTAGCGTGATATTATATAGCCTATGTTACTTCTGAATAATGCAGCTTTCTAATGGTGAAAAAATTATTGCAATCGGTCCAGTAGTTTTTGAGTTTATTCATTACAAACATACCAAAATACAAATCTTTCCTCTTTATAATATTATTATAGTATATAGTATACTAGCGACCCGCCCCGGCTTCGCACGGGTGCAATATGCATGTATTATACATACAAACCTTCGTTAAGAATCACTCTATCTATTAAAAAAAACCGCATCAAAATCCGTTGCGAAGTTTTAAAGATCTAAGCATACATACGGACATACAGCGAAAGCGACTTTGTTTTATACTATGTATTGATATAGTATAGACTTGTAGTGACAGAACTATACTTAAGCGCGACTTAAAATTGAGTAGCGTTTGAGTATTTCGACATAAGTATTGTTAATATATTGGTTTATGTACCAGTCCCAAAATCAAGTGAGGACATAGTCATAGGGTCCTGGATCAAGTTTTTGAATTGTGCAAGAGCTGGTGATTTTTGCTGAAATATTACTATTTTACCCTGCGCGTAATCTTGTCAGATCGCTCGATAAATTATTCTTGTTATACTTTTAAATACAATGTTTTATATGGACAACTGTGTTGAGCATAGTGAAACAAGACAATTTATTTCTGCAAATAGGCTACAAGGCAAAATAGACGTGTAAAACGTCAATTTTTTAAGCGAACGATGAGGTCGACGTTTCCTATGTGAATGACGTTAAAACTATTTGTGCTCATGGTGTTCAGAGTTTATTGGGACAAGTCTCTCTTATATGATTTTGAGCTTCAAAAATCTTCCTACTTTCGTTAATAATAAAATAATTTTGATAAGTGTGTAAGTGATAATGTGTGATAATAAAGTGTTGAAGGCATAATAAGAGGGCCTAAGTTATTATAAAACTAGCTTTTACCCGCGGCTTCGCTCGCGTCACAAAAGGATAAAAAGTAGCCTATGTGACATATACCAATACTCACAGCGCCATCTATACCAATACTTTTGTTTTCCCTCGGGATCATCAAATTTTTCCGGGATAAAAAGTACCCTATTATTTAATCCAGACTTCTTACTTTACATCTGCAAAAATTCAAAGCAATCGGTTTAGTAGTTACGGTGTGAAAGCGGAACAAACAAACAAACTCACTTTCCAATTTATAATATTAGTAAGGAAGTAAGGATGTCAACCTACATAGTTTATATTATTTTTGAATTTGAAATTGAATATATTTATTTATCTTTGAATTTGAATAAAATTAATTTTAAACACGATATACCACAATAATTTTACCAACTCTTTTAACTTGTTCCAGGTACTAATGATGCGCGACTGCCACCTGTCCCGTATGCTCCTGATCCGCGCCGTCCGCCACATGAGTACTGACAACTTGAAGTGGCCGGCGGACGGGCTCTGGTACAGCGTACACGATAGACAGAAGAAGTGTAGCGGGTTCCTTTGTACTGCTGACGGATTCTGCAGATTTAAGGGCGATGTTAATCGTAAGTATCTACATATTTACTATTTTGTTCCTAAACAGTGTTTTAAACAAAAGGGAGATGGTGTAAGGGAAATAGACTTACTTTTTTGCTTGCAACCGGCATGATTTCAGTTTCCTTATACTTACCATGTTGAAATTACAATTAATCTAATACGTTGTTCAGCTTGTACTTTACAATATATGCAACTAGGTACATAAGAGGGAAGTGTAAACTCTTATTACTTCTTCCATAGAATTCTAATTCGATGTATTTTTTTTGTTGAGGGCGAAAGTCATCCAATGACTACTCCCACCTTGGGTTAGGTGAGAGGGAGTGTCAGACTCTTACTGACTAAAAACCACCCCGTTCCTACTCCTGCTCTTTGAGTTGGGAGTCCCGGCAGCCTGTTAGGCTTTCCGCGGCTCCGTATCGGCATCAGCCTTACTGGGCCGCATCTGTGGTGGTCTGATGGCTGATCTGATCTCATGCTTGAGTGCCCCTTCACATTAGGTTCAGTTAAGTTCAGTGTGGCGCACTTCATTACTAAAATGCATAATAATAAATAATAATATATTAACTCGATTTTATCAGCATCGTATCTCAGTAAAACTTTAATTCAAATACTGACCGTCATCCACTAAGATCAGGAGATGGCAAAACAACTTATTTGCAACATTGGCTCATCGCCGACTGACACACGCGACGGCAGCGCGCTTCTGTTTAAACTATGAGACTCTGGCATGCTACTAAAGTCGCCTAAATGTGAAAGAGGTCTAATAGACCCACTTGTGATCATTAAGCTAACGAAAAACTCTTGGAAACTTTTAAATGTTCGATTTTTCAAATCGCTTTACACTTTGATAACATAACATAACATCACGCCTTTTATCCCCGAAGGGGTAGGCAGAGGTGCACATAGAAGTAACAGCCCACTTTTCACTATTTATGTTATGAGTCCTATGTGATAGGGGGTGAGCCTGTTGCCATATAGGTACCGGGCACAATTCCAGACTCCGTGCTACTACTGAGAATTTTTTAAACCCAGTAATACTTTGCCCGACCCGGGAATCGAACCCGAGACCCCTTGCCCGGCAGTCGCACTTGCGACCACTCGGCCAACGAGGCAGGTTTGATAACATTGTCATAATAACATTACAGCAGGAGAAGAGTTTGCTAGAGTGGCAGGTGCACTTACCTACGTCTTGGCTACAATCGGCAGTAAGGCGGAGCTGAAGTCTACACTATGTTACGCGCTCGAGATATCTGGGAGGGAATGGGCTGCTTGCTTGGATAAACGACAGGTATGTACAGAGTACTATATGTATATAAATATAACATAACATAACATCACGCCTTTTATCCCCGAAGAGGTAGGCAGAGGTGCACATTATGCCACTGTACAATGTAACACCCACTTTTCACTATTTATGTTATGAATCCCATGTAATAGGGGGTGAGCCTATTGCCATATACCGGGCACAATTCCAGACTCCGTGCTACTACTGAGAATTTTGTAAAAACCCAGTAATACTTTGCCCGACCCGGGAATCGAACCCGAGACCCCTTGCCCGGCATTCGCACTTGCGACCACTCGGCCAACGAGGCAGTATATAAATATCTGTACATAAATAATATGATAACCTTGTAGAAGTGATAATTCTGTACATTGAAAATAACATACTCTTGCCTCGTTGGCCAAGTGGTCGACAGTGTGACTGCCGAGAAAGGAGTCTCGGGTTCGATTCCCGGGTCGGACAAACTATTACTGGGTTTTTAAAAATTTCAGTAGTAGCACGGAGTCTGGAAATGTGCCCGGTATATAGCAATAGGCTCACCCCCTATTACACGGGACTCATAACATAAATAGTTAAAAGTGGGTGTTACATTGTACAGTGGTATTAAGTGCCGTAATGTGCACATTTAGTGCCACTGGGTATGCAGAGGTGCATCTCCGCATGTACATTATAAGAAACCCTCCTATGTAGAGGAGGCCCATATAACTCAGTAATAGACTGTTAAGAGCTATTAATGATTTACGCCATTTAAAAATTAATTTAAAATCCTTCATGATAAATATACTGATGCCCAAGTGTACGGATTATTAATCCCCAAATGTTCCCCAGGTATGGTGTGACAGGCGACCACCGTGGTTGGCTGGTATTCTAGCCCTAGTCGGGTCTATATTGCAGTTTATTCCACCAATTTTAGTCAATGCAGTGCAGAGTGGAGCTTCTATGTATCAGGTAATATTATCTGTGTTACATAAACCATACATAAGTTACTGGCACATCAAGTAGTAATTTGTTTTTTAATCTAATTACAAATAAGGTCGAATATTCTTCGAACACTAAAAAGACGAGAATTCTTTTAATAGTATTTCTTCTTTCAGACCATGGCGCTCTGTTTATCTTGCATATCGAGGTCCTTGGACTGCGTTCCTCGTTGCTTCGTGAACGCATGCTCAATCATAGAAGGCACTCTTCCCTCCCATATTAATCCAGTAGGAGGTTCAGTTCTACTACAAATGCTTGTAACTGTAACGTATGAGGAAATACAGAAATGGGCTGAAGAGGAAGTTGAGAAGGAAAAAGCAGGTAAACGCCATCTATTGACGTAGATATAGTTTTGTTTTTGGTGGTACTGCCATCTAGTGGTGAAGTTTGAGAGTTAGTTGATAAAAGTTATGAACCTATGGGAATTTTGTCCCGAGCGTACGGCGCGTCGCGTTCCGTGTGCGCCTCAAAGAGCGATGGCTCTTTGAGGCCCCATCTGTGGTGGTCTGATGAGACCACCACAGATGGGGCCCAATAGGGCCGATGCCGATTCGGAGTCGCGGAGAACCTAACGGGTAACCGGGGCTCCGGCTCGACGTGCAGGAGAAGGAACGGGGTGGTTTTTAGTCAGTAAGAGTCTGACACTCCCTCCCGCCTCACCCAGGCGGG